TTTTTTTGAGACACAGTCTTGCTCTTGTTGCCCAGGCTGGAGTACAATGGATGGCACGAACTCAGCTCGGCTCACCACAACCTCCCTCTCCCAGGTTCAAGCGATTCTCCTGCCTCAGTCTCCCAAGTAGCTAGGATTACAGGCATGCGCCGCCATGCCCAGCTAATTTTTGTATTTTTAGTAGAGACAGGGTCTCACCATGTTGGTCAGTCTGGTCTTGAACTCCTGACCTTAGGCGATCCACCTGCCTCAGCCTCCCAAGTGCTGGGATTACAGGCGTGAGCCACTGCGCCCGGCCTAAAGGGGCATACTTCTAAGGAGACCAAGGGGTGGCTAGGACTTCCCCAGTCCATAGGGTGTGGGGTAAAGGCTGGAGCCACCCAGCTACACTTCTGCTCAAGGAAGAGGGATAAATATCTCAACAGGGCACCTGCATCTGGCCACCAGGGGAGGGAGACATGGCTAAGCATGGCCAAAAGACTACAGCCAAATGTTTGAAAATCTTTTTTAAATTTAGTGTTTTATCAAGTTTATGCCTTTCTTGGAGCATCAGAAGAACATGCAGACTCTACTGGACCCACAAACAACAAATGGCAAAGTAGAGCGTGAAGACAGAGAGCCTCATGGAAAACAATTATGTGTTTATTCAAATGGAACTACGCTACAAGAGAAAACGCGATTTGGGGGTGAGTGTAGAGGAAGAAAAGGATTCGAAATTGAAATGAAGTGGCTTTCACTTGGACCTGCTGGGTGGTATTTGACATAGCATTGTTCACATACATCATCCCATGAACAACAGTGGTCTAGGGCTTCTGGAAAAGCATTTGGGACAGTGGACAAATACTGGGTGATGCTTGTCCAATTACACATCAAACTAAGTACACTGCAACATTCTTCCAAATATCCACAAAGCACACGAGCCATTTTCATCTATTACAGACACAGTTATTTCAGCTCTTTACACTGTACAGTCATTATGAAAAACACAGGGAGACAGCTTCACTTACATGGTTAATGAAGAGACTCTTGCGTTTTTCTCTCACTGTGGAAACAAAAGATGCAACAGAAATGTTATATGCCTGCATGCCAACTCCTCACAGGTGGCTGAGGACTGGGCCTCTTTGTCATGGTCCCATCCTTCCACCAACCAACATACCCACTTGCTCATTTATCAAACATAAAAATATGGGACGTGCACAAATGCAGATCTGAATGAACCTGGCTCACAGAGGGAAATATACATCCATTTAAACAATAGCACCCTAACAAAATAAGTGCAGCTCAAATCGATTAAGGAGTAACAGATTTCCATTAACTGAATAAAAAAGTAATTAGTAAATCTCATAAAACTCATATGCATCTATTAGTTTAACACAATTAACCAACAATAGAACTATTTGTTCCCAACCCTACCAGACCCATAAAGCTCCACAGTATATCACAGTAGATGAGGGAAATATAAATAACAAGATCTAGAAAGCATCGAGATCCAGGAAGACGAGGTATATCAGCAGTGTTATCTATCATGGAAACCCATTACTCTCCATGCTTGCTGCTGGGGAATCTAGCTGGGTTTCTGTCTGGGAGGCCCCTAGAGCTCCTTGTGGCACCTACTCCCAACCCCATGAGGCTGACAGAGGGCATCATAACCGATACTGCTCTAACAAGGTGGCTCTCACCCTGCTGTCTGCATGCATGGCCTGTGCTGAGCAGCTCAGCCTCCAGTGTTCCCAGACCTCAGTGTTTCTCAGAATGGGAGCCCGCAGCCCCAGGGAGGTAGAAAGGTCAGTGACAGGAAATGCAAAGAGCTTATAATAATCTAGTATCACTGAATTTTGCATTTTCTTTTCTGAAAGCTCATTTTGTGGGCACAGGTGAATCCATCAACACAATTATTGGTTACTGCGAAAGACACGAAGAATAGGTTTCCTTCAAGGAGATAACATCGTAGGTCCTCAAGAATCAACAATGTTATCCTGTATCCTAAAACAACAGTGTTCAAAAGACAGAAGAAAGTTATCTCCTTACAGTCCATGCCCTTGCAAAGCAGATTCACTACTGTTTTCAAAAGCTTTCTTGCTGATCGGTTGGAGGGGCTAAGGAACTGTTTTTCTATCACTCATACACTGTTCTTAGACTCCCAAAAAACACTTCTCGTTTCCTTAGAAGTCTTGTCCTTTCTGGAATGAATGCTGCCCTCTACCCTTGATATCTCAAAGATAACAAAAGCAAAAATGCAAAAGCAAAAATTAGTCTGAGGATACCATTGGGTATTTTAAAGAGAGACTGACACATAGAAGGTAGCTCCATCAAGCCATCAGATGGACCCATGTACAGGGTCCATCTGATCAGGCCCCTGCTGTCGTGGGATAGGACAGGGCACCGTGGCAATGGCTGAGGCCAGACTAGCACACACAGAGCGTAAGTGCACAGACAGCAGCGACAAACTGGTCTGCTATGCACAGTATGGAGGCAGGGGGATTACTACTTACCTAACTCCAAGTAAGCATCCACATGTGAACCACAGCAAAACAAACATGAGGGTCTGGCTGGAAGCTCTGGGTTTTAACTTCCTGGCATACACAGACAGACAGACAGACAGACAGACAGACTGCATGCAAATGTGTGTGTTTTCTTTCATTCATACTAAACTATTATGCATGTAGCCAAGGATGGGGATATGATGGTAATTCTATAACAATTTCCCACTGACTGAAGGGATCTAGAAACCCTTTCTACTTGGGCCACAGAACTGACAGGATTCCCACTATATTGTGAGGTGACACTCAGCCCTTCTCAGAGCATCCCAGTGATAGGTTTGTGCAAAAGAGACTTCTGTCTCCCAACTGTGGGAACCACTGCTGATACTAAGGTCACCTCAACACCCCACATCAGCCCCTGTCTTCAGCAAATAAAAGAGACCCATGCTTCAGGAAATACCAGCGCTTCCTATATGGGTACTATTGAGACGATCAGGAATTATTCACACATAGAAGTCATGGCTGAGATGCATAGCCTTCAACAGTTCTGACTAAAAATCTGACCAAGAAAGCTGATGTGGTTTGGCTGTGTCCCCACCCAAATCTCATCTTGAATTCCCACATGTTGTGGGAAGAACCTGGTGCAAGGTAATTGAATCAGGGGGGCAGGTCTTTCCCATGCTGTTCTCGTGATAGTAAGTCTCATGAGAGTTGATGACTATAAAAAGGGGAGCTTCTCTGCCCGAGCCCTCTTCTCTTGTCTGCCATGATGTGAGATGTGCCTGAGATACCTTCCACCATGATAGTGAGGCCTCCCCAGTGACTCGGAACTGTAAGTCCAATAAACCTCTTCCTTCTGTAAATTGCCCAGTCTGGGGTATGTTTTTATCAGCAGCATGAAAACGGATTAATATAAAAGCTTTCAAACAAACAAAAACTACAGCAGACACAGAAGAATATTATAAATATGTATGCCATTCTTGTCCACCACCTACAAGGATCAATCTCAGGGAGGAATCGGGCCATTTTCAAGAACTCCAACTGACTGCAACCAGAATGGTGAAGAAAAACAAAAGTTCACTGAGACTATTAGAGAACACCTGAGGATAAGCTATCTGAATCTCTTACAGAATCTCTTAGGCATTCACTGCTTCTATGCAAATGAACACCTACACGCTACCCTATTTCCTCAGAGCAACCCAGGGCTCCTGGGGCCTCAGTCAGGCACCTCTTTCCTGCATGGCTTTGTAATGCTCCTCCCAAGAGGGCCTTTGCAAGATAAAGTCTGTACAGTTTCTGAGAGGATTTTCCACACATGCATCCCTATGGCTGACTTGCTTTTGGAGTGTCTTCTGAGCCCCCAAACAAGTCACCTGTCCACAGGAAGATTTCCTGATATCCATGCTGGACCAGGTGACCCATTTCTCTTACCATCCTGCCTGGATCAGAGGGACGCTCCGCCCTCTCTGGGATAACTCATTCTCCTGGGAATCTGGAGTTGGGACATACTCGAAGGGCTCTGCTCAATCTTAACTGAAGGTATGGTGTGTAAACTTCAGACCGGGCTGGGGCTCATCTCCCACTATGCAGGAAAGAGTGAAGCAGCAGATCTGACTATGGAAGGGCTGGTCTGCCTGCAAGCCTGGCCCCTGGCTAGTATCTGAGAACTTGGATTTGGGAGGGTTCCTTCCCATCATTACCTAAGTGGTAAGAGTGGCTCACTGTGCCTATGCTGTCTGCACAAACCACATGCTCTATGCCACACAAAGTATGGTTTACTTCCTTTTGAGAGTCTGGAATTTTGATACTTAACAAGCAGAGCCTTCTTACATGAGCAGTCCTCCATAAAAATGTGGGTGCTGGTCTGCCCAGGAGCTTCCCTGGCTGACAACATTCCACGGTGTTTTCACAACTTATTTGTGAATGGTGGGGATGAAGTGTGACCGGTGCAGCCCATGGGAGAAGACTCGCCCCAGGCCCTCTTCCCTGTGCTGAGTTTGCCTCATGTGCTTGCACTGTAATAAGTTACAGTCATGAGTGTGACTGTATTTTGCATCTTATGAGTCCTGGACCCCCACACAGCTGCCATGCAGAGAAGCACAGGGGCGGGGCGGGGAGTGGAGATGGGTAGAAGGCAGGTGCTGCCTTAATCCTAATAGCTTTTAGTGCCCAGTTCCACTGATTCCTGAGCCTTCTCAGATACCCTCAGTGCTCTTAAAATTAATTACTTCGTTTTACCTAAGCTAGCTGGAGCGGGACCAAGACATTACCACAGGGTAAAAGGTAGAATCTTTTTTTGTTTTGTTTTGTTTTTGAGATGGATTCTCATTCTGTCACCCAGGCTAGAGGGCAGTGGTGCAACCTCAGCTCACTCCACCTCCTAGGTTCAAGCAATTCTCCTGCCTCAGCCTCCCAGGTAGCTGGGAGTACAGGCACGCACCACCACACCCAGCTCATTTTCTGTATTTAGTAGAGACAGGATTTTGCCATGTTAGCCAGGCTGATCTCGAACTCGTGACCTCAGGTGATCCACCTGCCTCGGCCTCCCACAGTACTGGGATTACAGGTGTGAGCCTCCATGGCCAGCGATAAGTAGAATCTTTTACAGTAGTGTATCACCTGAAAAGATTGACAGAATTACCCAAAACTAAATCTGTCTTCAAAATAAATAAATTTGAAACCACTGGGGCTAATGTGGGTACAGCTCTGAAATTCAAAATGCTTCAGCTATTGTGTTTTATGTAATGGTATAAGCAACATGCCAACTCATTCCTAATAGCTGGTTTCAGTCACCTTTAAAACTTCAATATTTTTGGTTACTCTAACATATCAATCAAAATATCTGGAGTTTTCTGAGTTAATGTCTAACTGAATTAATAATCATGTTTTGCTTAAGGAAAACAGGCAATAAATTGATATGGATCATAAATTTCATCTTTCCTGGGAGAGGAATGACAGTGACCTCCTCTGACACAATCTATGATAGTTAAGAGGATTTTTAATTGGCTACAGTGACAGTCCATAATGACATCAACAGAGAATGTACCAGAGGCTTTAAAAATAAGCCATCTAAAATCAGCAAAAACACTACAGTTGACATCAAAAGTCTTCTCCAGATAAAATGCGGAGTGAAGAGAGTAAAAGGCAGTGTTTGCAATCTGAAGGACTAACAAATTCCACTTAAGTTGCTATGGGACACTCTCTTGCCACAATGTCACCAAAGTAAAGTTTCTTTTTTTTTTTTTTGAGACGGAGTTTCACTCATGTTACCCAGGCTGGAGTGCAATGGCATGATCTCGGCTCACCGCAACCTCTGCCTCCTGGGTTCAGGCAATTCTCCTGCCTCAGCCTCCTGAGTAGCTGGGATTACAGGCACGCACCACCATGCCCAGCTGATTTTTTGTATTTTTAGTAGAGACGGGGTTTCACCATGTTGGTCAGGATGGTCTCGATCTCTTGACCTCGTGATCCACCCGCCTCGGCCTCCCAAAGTGCTGGGATTACAGGCTTGAGCCACAGCGCCCGGCCAGTAAAGTTTCTTTACTCTAAAATAAAACTTTCA